CCAGTCCTGGTCTTGGTCTTGTAACAATTTAGCGGCTTTGGTCTTGGTCTCGCAAAGTGCAAGACCAAGACCGATTTTGGGCAACACTAATTAGCTTACTAGCGGATCCAGGATTTCAATTTGTGGAGCTTCAGCCAGAATGATTTTTTTTTTAAATATATATAACGATAATTACTTTGAGAAAAAAAAGAAAGATACTAACTAGCTATATGAAATGGTTTTTAAGTGATTCTAGAAGTCCTATTAAAAACACGAGCAATAATACTTTAAGAGATAATATTTTTATTTATTTTTTTCCATAAAACATGTTTACTTTTTACCATTTGGGGAGCTTCAGACCGAAAGCTCCCCTCCCCCCTCCGTATATCCGCTTGTGCTTTAGCTGACAGAATATCGAATCACCTCAGTTTTTCTACACAACTTGATGTTAATCTCAAGTTATTTCGTAATAAACCTCAATTCAATTAATATGGACTTAAAGCATCTTAAACATGGATGTTTTTCTAAAAACCTATTTTTAGAAAAAAAATATAGTTAGTTGAACCAATTTTGTCTCTTAAAGAGATCTCTAGCATGGCTCTTTCCGTTCTACGTTGACAGAATTTCTCTTTCTCTTTAAGTTCTTGGTCAGTGATCATGTCTGGTATCCGTATGTAAGTACTGAGATTATACAGCTGTTAAACTTAATTGTTTTAAACCTTATGTACAGGCGGCTTTTAAAATATTTTCAAGGCATCAAAATTTCTTCTAGGCATTGGCTATTTTTAATTTTATTTCTTTTCTGCCCCTATTCTAGAATGATATTATTTATCCTTTATAGCTTCTTTAGAAACCTTCATATCTGAGAGCTTTTTACTGATTGTTTTCGAAGGACCATATACTATTTCTCTTGTATAATATAATATTTCCTTCAAGTAATTACTTCTACTTCCGGAATACCCTTTATACTCGTAAGAAAACAAATGGAAATAAAGACACCTTTAACTCTTTTAAAATAAAAAAAAAATTGAAATTCTTTTAGCATTGCCATTCAATCAAAGAACTGCGCCTTGCAATAGAACATAGGCAAGACCTGCATGACAGTGCTGTTGGGCAATTCCTGAAAAAGGCGTTTATCGACTAAAGTAAAAAACTGAATTTAGTTAACTAGAGATTGGATATACGCTTCACAAATATATGAAAATGCTAAAAAACACACACATTCAGAATCTACAAATATTTCAGGGCAAAAAAATCAGAATAATTACGCATTATGCAGGATAAAATTATACAGGATAATCATGCAAGTTGGTATGTTAGTAACATAAATCTCCATAAAGATTTACGCATACAAACCGTCACTGAACACATACAAACAGCAAGCTTTATGGTCACTCCAATAGACTCATTCAAAACATGGCCAATAAAAACATGCCCTATAACATCCGCAGAAGGCTGAAAAGGAGTTGGATGAGAGATCTTGATTAACCATTAACATGACCGAAGATTAGCCACTGTGTCTGTTCTTCATGGCTATCACATTCTTTCTTCTAGTTTATTTGCATATTGCAATCTCATTCACTGATTGTCAGTGAACATTGACAGTTGTCAATTAAAAACTAAAGAGAAAATAAAGTTTACATGAAAGAAGAAAAGTTGAAGGAAAAGGATGGATTTAAAAGCTTTATATGATGTCTATCTGTGCCAAGATTATCTCGGGTACTAGTTGACCGATTTTGTTGCTTCTTTTTTATTTTGTAAAGTTTTGACTACTGATACCTGTGACACAATAGGGTGGTTTTTAGCCTGTTTTTTGAAAGGTAATGAAAATCCCTATAAAACTAAATAAAAATCGTTCATTTCGGACAACTAATAGGGTGTTTAAAAAAATTAGCGTTTTATAAAATTCAAGATTTCAAAGGACTGTATATATTTTATTCCTATTTATTACTTAATAATCCCTTTAAAGCATTCTCTAAGCTTGTTTAATCCCATTCGACTTATTCAAAATAAGCTTCAGTTTAGTTATTTGTTTCAATGAAGAAACATAACAGTGTCCAACGAAATTCTCGTAATTTGAAGGCATTACTGGAAAAAATATTTCATAGCCTCTGAAGCAACTCGTGAAATTATTAAATATGAAGGGGAAAGTGTGCTTGAACTTGCGCGGCGTTGGTTTGAAAATTTTATCTGTGGAAATACGACGTTGGAAATGAAGAAGGACTCTGGGCGACCATTAATTTAATTGATGAGGTTATGGAGGAAGCTGTAGAGTAAAATGCGTCAACAAGTACTAGCGAGATTACCAGGGAGTGTGCTCATCAAGCCATCCAAAAGCATATTTAAGCATAGAGGGGAAATTGAAACTTGTGTGACGCGGGCACCAGATTTTCTTGCTTTCACTCAATTTCATTTTTTCTCTCTTTTTCATCCCTTTCTGGCACCGTGAGCCGTGTGCTGTGTCGAAAGATATTGTTAGTCGCCATCTACTCTCCATGAGGAAGGTGAAAAAGAACATTAAACTGGTCTCAACTTACTCCTCAGCGATCAGCTAAGATGTTAGAAATTTGTGAAAATTTATAGAAAAACTCTTCTGATAGGAGATTTTACCGGAAGATTGTCACCTGTGATGAAAAGTGGGTTTAATGGAGAGAACCGAATACCCGTGAGCAATGGCTAGATCGCGATCAAACTGCTTTTCCGGTTGCTCGAAGGGGACAATATGAAAAAAAAAAATCCATGCTTTACATTGTTGAAGTTATTATTCATCACGAATTTATTCCTTATGGATGATCTATGAATTCCGAACTCTACTGCGAATAATTAAAAATATTGTACGCGAAGTTGTCAGAGCGTTATCCTGATTTGAACAACTGAAAAGAAATTTTATTCCAATAAGAACGCTCGTTCTCACACTTCCGTCAAATCAAAGAAAAGTTAAAAGAACTTCATGGGGTCGAACTCTTGACTCACCCACCATACAGACCAGACCTCGCACCATCGTATTACTACTTCTTAAGATCCATGGCCCTTAGAACCATTTTCTTCAAGGGTAAAAAAATTGATAATTTTGCGGAAGTTGAAATTGCTGTCCAAGATTACTTTGATAGCCATCCCAAAGAATGGTATCAGCGTGGGATTAAGCAATTGGCTAATGACGGTAGATAACAATGGACTATACTTTAAGCATTAATTGTATTTTATATCAAAGAAATAATAATTAAAATATTTGTTTGAAAAACGGTCATTTTTGTATACACCATATTATTAACCAAGTTACAGCTATTTTAATTTCGTTTGTTAGATTACAAGTTCTAATCGGTGCCACAAAGGAGTGAAAAAGAGAGAGAAAATGAAATTAAGTGAAAGTATCAAAATCTGGTGCCCGCGTCACACAAGTTTCAATTTCTCCTCTATGCTCAATTTTATTTTGGATGGCTTGATGAGATGTCAACAGCAAACGTTTTTTTCCTCTCTCTCTTATTTTCTGCATATATGTGATCTTATTTTTTCTGCCCTGATAATGTCTGAATCAGCGAAACGTTAGCAATTCAAATGTTCACTAATATGTTAGAGACTCATGGCTTTATACTTTTGATTTCTTAAATACATCAAAAAGTTTCGATGTATAATATTAGAAGAAATTCCCTTTCGTTTGATATATTATCCATCGCTTCTGAAAGACGGAAAAGGAAACTATTTTACAGTATTGTATATACAATAGATCCAGATTCTTCGAAAACCTCGTAAACTAATGGTAAACACGTTATTACAAAAAAGTGAATTATAAACAAGTTTCGTTACAAAATATAAGAACCATCTTATCATTTCCTTAATCATTAGTATTGAATTACAATACTATATAATTCTTAACTGCTCATAACAGAATCTGTTACCTGCGCCCAAATAGGGCTTAATGTCAGGACTCTCAGGTAACCCGATCTAGGAAGAGAGAAACCGTTAGTAGGAGTCAGTAGCCACTGCTCAAAAAATTAATTAAATTAAAATCTAATAACTAACGTATTATTCTTATTATTTGCTTGTTTACGATTAAAGTGGGTGCCCTTAATTAAATAATTGATTAAGGGGGAAAACCTGGCGGTTGTGCGTGATCCTGGCCCGATCCCCTCTCTGCTCAACTGTTGGCTTTGAAACAGTACTCTCAGTATTAAGTAGTACTGAACCCAAGACCCATAATGGGTTATAGTAGTACAGTTTTTTTTTTTTTTTTATATTAATGACGTTAACAATAGTTGTTAAATAAATATAACAAATCTTATTTTAGTTATTCATTTTTATTATTTGTGACCTGGGGTCCACATGTTAAAATGAAAAGAAAGATTTTAAACAAACGACTGAAAATACTATAATCACTTTTTTTTCCAAATTAAAACTGAAAACTAGATACATACACAGACGTATTTGGACATATACTGATTTACGGTTCAGCAAAAAAGACTTACTTGCAAAAACTACAATATTTTCAATCTAATAACAGCAACTCCCTGGCATGCAAACAACAAAACTTTACATACCAACTTACAACAATCAGCCATCGACCAACACATATATACTCTTTGCTCCCAGTTCGTATTAATCTACACAGACATAACAATAGACTCATCAACGACATAGCCACGGCTGACATGCTCATCAGGAGGCAGCTGAAAGGGAGCTGGATCTCCTTTCCTGATTGATCGAAGTAAACAAAGATCTGCGAAGAGGTGCTCCTGGGTACTACTATTTTTCTCATGTCTAAAATGCCATTTTCAAAACATAACAGAAAAAAAATTAATTACTAACAGAAAATTCATCAAAATTCTTGGTGATTTCAGGTTAATAAATATCACTTAATGAATTTTTTGCAATATGTTTTCGACTGCTCCTTCAATCTTAATCTATTATTGGTTAAATTATTGAGATAACAAATCTCTAAAAACTGTACTTAAAATAGTTTTAATAAATACGTTATTAAAACATTACATTTAATAAATACGTTAAATATAAATTTACATTTTCAGGTTCCCTGGCTGAACTAAGTGAGACAAAAAAGTGTTTCCACAATCACAAATCATATAAAGTTAAAGATGTGATCAAAGGGGATGACATTGGCTATCCTTGTGCTTATGAATGCATCTGTCAGAAAGGTTACAAATCCAAAAAGTAAGTAAATATATTTATTTAATATTAATTTTTTCTATCTGATTAAAATAATTTAATATATATTACATATTATAGCTAGAAAATTTTAATGGGAAAAAGAAAGAAAGTCAATTTTATTCTGGGACATTTAGTCTCCTCAGAACAGCTACAGTGAACAAAGAAATGACAATTGTCTGGCGATTGTGAATAATTAAAAGACAATTAAAAATAAATAAATTTACAAACTTGTCTAACCTTAATATTAAAATAAATAAACATACAAATTTTTCATAATATTAAAAATTCATCTGCAATTTCATTTCTATTAAATTTTAATTTTGTTTACTTTAATTATTATTATTTTTAAGGTAATTACAAATTTATTGTAACAAAAAAATTCTGACATGTAATGTGACATGCACTATATTTTAACTCAAAAATTTTTTTAGCCTTGCATCCACAAGATCATTGGGATTGTAGTTCTGAAGATGAGAGTAAATATCCCAAAACATAAACTTGTTAACATGTAACATTGATAATACAAGCAATATATTCAATTGTTGCTAATTGGAAGTAATTATTGCCAAATAACTAAGAATATTAGACAACTTCCCTGAAAAAAAAAGAAAATTTATTTGTTTATTTATTAAAGATCTGTTGCATCAATAAAAAAATAGGTAAAATATCTATATATGGAAAAAAATGAAGAATGGTGAGACAATATATTCAATACTAAGAAAAAACAATTAAATCTCCTTAACAGATATAAAAAAAATTACTTCTGTTTCAAATAACAAGAAACCACTAAAGGGGCATGATGTAAGATAGATGACTGAAAGTTGAATTATATCTAAATCATCGGCTTATGCAAAATGTCATTAAGTAAAATTTTATAACTTTAAATAATTAAGAAAATTTAAGAATTTTATCTTATATGAAATCAGAAAATTGTGCACTTGTAACTATATTTGATATATAAAAGAGTTTGAGTCATTTTTTTGTACATAACTGTGTTCTTATATTGATAAATATAGTAAAAATTCACGAAAACATATTTAAAAGTTAACCAATATAAAAAATTCACTTAGTGACTTTTTTCAATAATCAAAAGGGAATATGAAATAACATGAAAACCAGATATACAATTTGATTGATGAAGAGATGTGCTAGTCAGAAATCAAATAATTTAGCATCTACACAGTGTTGTTTATATATTTGTTGTATTTTAATAAATAAATAATATAAGCGGACTAAAACAGATCAATTAGTATCAAAATAAAATTCTTATTTTGATTTCAGCGCTAACTGGCAATGTGTACACATCGAGTGTCCAGACCTCTTCAACCCACCAAAACCAGACTGCATCAGGTTATATACACATGAAAAATGCTGTTCCGAAAAAACCTATTGTCGTAAGATTTTTATTATTATTATTAATATTATTTATTAATTCTAAACAATAAAGAAGCAGTTAATATTGTAAGCTCATTTAAATATTATAAAAAACAAAGGGTTATAGGTTTGGTTTCCTAAAATACGGACATTAATCAGAGAATGAATAAGGCAAATTTACTGACACAAATTCTCTTCAAAGAATATCTTAAAATTGAAATTTAGGGAAGTCGAAATCTATAAGAATTTCTCAATAAATAAGAAATGAGATGTCCTGACCACAGCAGAAATTACATATTAACTTCATCTATTCCTTAGAAATGTATTACATGTTACATCTATGGTGGATTACAACTACAATAGTAGTAATTGTGAACACTAACTTTTGTAGTTTAAAAATTTACTTATTAGAAAAAAATTGTTGTATTCGCATCTACTTCTCCACTATTGAAATATTTTTTTGTCATTTATTTATTAGTGATATTTGAAATTCAATGACATTTTTTACATCTCCTGCCGTACCATTTCTACCTTAAAACGTCTAAATTACTCCCGTAACCTATTTCCCCTTGAAACCTGTAGGCTCCTAGTAACTTCCTTAAATTTTTTCTACTTTGACTATTGCTGTATGATATATGGGGTCGTCTCTGGGGATCTCGAGGCAAAATTAAAATGTTTGATAAATTGCTTTGTAGGATTCATGTTCAGGATCCGAAGAGACGCCTCTGTTTCCCTTTTTTATGCAGAGTTGAAGTGGCTTTATGCTTCCTACCGTCGCAAGTATTTCCTCTTTCAATCATTCCTCTTCCAAGTCATCCAAATCCACCGTCCTTCATACATATCCAAGCTCCTTCAATTCAAATCCTCTGTGTGTTCCCGCAATACTCGCGCTCGGTCTTCTGATCTATACATAAGGGTCCACCGAACCGGTGCTGTCGACAGATCGTTCATTATCCGATCCTCATCCCTATGGAACTCCATCCCTCCCCACATCCATCAATCCCAACCCTTCCTACCTTTAAATCCCACCTGTTCAATCATTTCTTATCCATCCAGTCCCCATAAAATTGTAAATAGTTACTACTGTAAATATGTATATAAATTATTAGATTGTTCTTCATTACTTTTTTATTTTTTATTATTAACTGATTAAATTAGAAAGTAACTTATAATTCTTTTTATTATGACTATTTAATTACTCTATATTTTTATTTATGTATCTCTGAGGCTCTTTAGCCCACATTTTTGTATTTCTATATTATTCTAAAGGGACTCATCCCAGAATAAATAAAGCATTATTATTATTATTATTTAAATAATCAACTTTTAAATTATGTTCGATTGAACTAACTATCTTTTAAAATTTAATTTCTTATTCACAGCTGCCACTGATCCACCAATGCCTCACACATGTGAATACAAGGGAGTATCTTATGTAGAAGGTCAAAAATTTGTGGATGGATGCAAGAACTGTATTTGCCAGAAAGGATTTAATGGTTAGTAAATATCTGTATGATCGATAATCAACCTGTCTTGAAAAAAAAAATTTATTACACAATAATTTTTTAAATAATAAATATAATAATATAATACCCTCATTATGATAACATACTCATCACATTTTGCATTCTAATCAATACAGGAACATTGGTTGAACCGTTTTGCAAACCAATTACTTGTGAATTTTATCTACACTACAGTGATTACATTCAAGACGGCTGTGTTCCAACATATTATGAACCCAATGATTGCTGCCCTGTCCCTATTTGGAGATGCCGTACGTATAACTATAGATCAAATCTTTTTTTTAGAATAAAACACGGGAAAACTTTTTTGATTACTAATACTTTATTTATTTTGTTTTGCTAGCCCAAGAATCTGATGTTGTCATTACTCAGAAAAACATTGAAGATCAATCAGGTAAATATTTTATGTTAAGATATACTTACAGGGTGAGTTGAGAGGAATGTGTCCAACCCCAAGAAAATAACCAAAAAACAATCTTACCCAATTTTCATTTGTTTAAATTTTAGTAGCTTATAATAAATAAACAAAATTTTTCATTAACGATAGGTATTAAACAAGTTACAATCAGATTAGAACATAGTTATTTAATTGATCCTTTCATTTCTGAAAACACTTCACAAGAGACTAATACTTAGATTTTTACAAATCTACTCAATATCGATACAGACAACTGCCACATCTTTTGAACAACAGATCTCAACTCAACTTACAAAACAACCGACTAATCAATACCACTACTATACAATACTAATACCTACACAATACTAAGACCTATTTGGACATACAGAGCAGAACTTCGAGGCTCTACAAAACACACACACAAACATAAACAAAATTCAAACCACACAATCTAAAATACTTCATAAAATCGTCAATGTTACTTTGATTTATTTCAAATCATACTATACACACAGACATGAACATACCAGAAATAAATTCCTGCAAATACAAAAAGTACACAACATTTCATTCTTCTACTCTCAATATTCCAAACCCACTCGTTCTTTCTCTTTCTTCCTCCCTGTTACCTGGTGAGCCTCAACGACGACTAAAAAGCCTAAGTAGCCTAGAGATCTCCTGCTAACAATGTAAACAAGGATCAAGAATAAAAGAAGACAGAATTAACAGCAACACATTAGCTTGATGCGTTACAATGCAGTGGCAAATTTAATGTAAAATAAATAAAAAATCTTATAGGAGTAATATGGTGTTTGACAAAGAGGAGTCTTATTCTCGGAGAAAGCTGACATGAGACGAAGAACAAGAACACTGTTCTTATCCTTTATGTTTTAAATAGACAAAACTAATAACAGAGATGAATATGGTGCATGGACATCGAAAGCTTCTCTACAAATAAAGTTTTAAAATAAAATAAAGACTGACAATGATAAAAAATCTTAAACTTATAAGAACATAAAAATAGTCTAAAATTACCTAATAATAAGTAATAAATAAAAATGAACTTACAACATAATGCAAGATTTAGGAGAGTGGTTTCCAGACTGCTGGATTGGTCACGGTGGTTCAATTAGTTATCCTACAAGATCTCCAGACCTCACTGTACCGTAATATTGTTTACGAGGATGGTTCAAAGTTTAAATATGCAAAGTAAAAGTAGACATTTGGAATGCACTAATTCAAAGCATTAAAAATACAGCAGGTATAATTAAAGGAAGATATAAAACAATCCGGAGGGCAGCCGTCGCCCTTCCAAGAAGAAGCTGAAAATATTTTGAAGTTAAATGTGGTATTTTCAAAACATGACTATGAAAAGCAACATGCTAATACATATATAAAATATTGTTTCATAACAGATAGGGTAAATATACCAGTATGCTTAAGGAAATTTCTTTGAACTGTTACGTGCAAAAAATTAAATATTGATGTTATTATATTTTTCATGGATTAGTCTTATAAAACTATTTCTCACTTCACCAGGAGGTATTTTAAATCCATGAAACATTCATCTTAATTTTTAAAAAAATTGAAAATTAAGAGAATAGTTTTGTTGTACTAGTAGCTGACACTGTTTGGTTTTTAATGTTCCTACGGCTGACAAGGATGAGAACAAGTATGTAATTAAGTGAAATTTCATAAGATTAACAAAAATTACCTTTAATTATATAACTAACTTCTTGCGTTTCCTGACTTAAATTTATCAATAAATGCTGGTCACTGTCAAGAACCTGTTTTTGCCAATAGGAAAATCTATTTTTGTTTTAAATTTAATCCAAATCATTAGCAATTTTTTTTTAACGAGACAGTAGTGAATGGTCCCATTTTTTATGCATGTTATATTCATTATATCTCTTTGAATTTATGAGAGTAGAGGGCTACCAACTACTGGCAAAAGTTTATTTAGAATGCTCCAATAGCTGACAACCATTAAATATTCTATTCCTTCATCGAGATAAGTAAAAAAATAGATAAAACATAATTTTAAACACTCCAAAAAACAATCAAACAGAATTTTTGGGATAAAACACAGTAGTTAAAGAGATAAAGGCAAACCTAAGATATGCTCCTACTGACAGATGGTTGTTCTTGGAACACCAAGTGGACTTGTCTAATTTTCCATTCATTATTTCAGTTGCAATTTCTGATAAGACTAAAGCAAAGCAGACAAATATACCAGGAAAAAATATAAAAACTAAAAATATATGAAATTGAGTTATAGGAGGTCCTGAACTTATATTATTCCCATTTTTGGAGGAGGATGTCAGGTATTGGTACACTGTCAGCTATTGGTGCTTTTACCCTAGTTATCCAATAAAATTTAAACAAATGAAAACTGAATAAGAACATAGGATTTTTTTCTATTATTATAATTTCCCTGTGTTCAACTTGTTCCTCCTACCACTCCGTATGCTGACAATTTTATAACGAACCATTAAAAACTATAATAAATAATTATTTTATTGATTGGGTATTTAAAATATCTATACTCTAATAATAATAATAATAATAATAATATGCTGAGATAATTAAACTTTCTATTTTATTGCTTCTCTGATAACTATGCTAGGAGCAAATGCTGTGACCAGGCTTGGAGATATTGAATTACTCAAATAAGTAATGCTGAAGATAACACCATTTTTTTTCTTTAACACCATTTCATGTTGATAAAGGGATATAAATATAAAAACCAAAAAAATATAGTTATAAAAAGAGTATACCACATAAGAACCAGCAAACTGCTTATTGTAAATGTGTTTAACTGCTTCGGAATCTATGAATATCATACTTACTTAAGAAACGTCATTAATTTTGGTGGATATGAATTGAAAATGATTTACTCCATGAATATTTCACTAAACCCATTCAATTTAAACTTCTTATAATTTAAATTCTTTAACAATAATTTATATAGTTGTTGAATTATTTTATACATATTATTACATAATTTTAGAATTTCATGATTTATTTTAAATTTCTCTCTGTTTAGGTTTGAAATGCAAATTTGGCAATCTGGAATTGGCTATTGGAAATATGCTGTCGCCCTCGGAAGAAAATAAGTGTGTAGAATGTTCGTGCCAAGTTCCACCCCACCTGACATGTCTCATGAATACAACATGCTACTCACAACATTAAAACAATTATAGATATATTTAATAATGTCAAAACCTTCATATAGATTATAATAGCTAGAGAAAAACAAAAATAGTTTCTTAAAAAAGTACTTTATTTTCTAACTACTCTGATTTTTTAACTGTTGAATATGTTAGATATTTAAATATGTTTGAATACAAAAATACAGTTTCAATAAAAAGACAAATTTAGTTTAATAGATAACACCGATATTCTAATATATAGGTTTTTATGAAATCAAAGTCTGTTTTTAATAATAAAACTTTTTCATAAAGGTTTTTTTGTTCATTAAACTTTTATACTTCAAAATCAAAAATAAAAGTATAATTATAAATCTTACTCTGTTTCATTAATACCTTATTTTATTCTTACCCTCAGTTTCTCTCAAAGAACTTCTTGGAAATTATTCTTACCACCTTTCAATTATCTTCTCTCAGAATACACAGGATAAAAAAGAGAGGAGAGAAAAATGGCCTACAATTTTGTATATGTATAATTTGATCTTGTTTACGATCACAGTTATCCACCCAATTCACTTTGCTGAAAATATCTCAGGACCTTCATTTCTCTATAGACAAACAGAAAATTTCGATTCTAGACCCCTTTGGATTTTTCAAAGGCTTTCAGAAAATCACGAAATCCTCCTTACCAAACTCCAAAACGTTTCCATATCAAATAGTACTCTAAAGTGGTTCCATTCTTCCATTTGTATCAAAGATCCCAAACAGTTATCATTCCCGATAAAATCTCTCCTCCCCCCTCAAACTAACTCGTGGTGTTCCTCAGGGATCTTCGCTCTCCCCAACTCTTTTCTCCATCTACATTAATGACCTTTTTGATTCCATTCATCACTCAAAACACCATTTATATCAAAATCTACTTCAAATCTACCTTTTCTACCATCCTACCGAGATGCTTGAGGCGATCCGAAGGCTACAAGAAGATATAGACAGCATTAATACCTGGGCAGCGAATAGTGATTTAAAATTGAATGTTGAGAAGACCAAAGCCATTCTCATTGGATCCAAGCATGTTTTAAACCTCATTTCTCATTATCCTCTACTCTACCCACTAGCGGATCCAGAATTTAATTTTGAAGGGCATCATCCTGAAAGCTTTTTTTTCATAAAAATAACGATAATTACTCTGGAAAAAAGAAAGAAACTAACTACCCATATGAAATGGTGTTTAAGTGATTCCTAAAGTTCTTTTAAATGTAATTACACGAACAATAATACTTTAAGAGATAATTTTTTAATATTGTTTTCCATAAAACATAGTTATATTTTACCATTTTTGGGGGGGGGGCTTCAGCCCAAATCCCTCCCCCCGTAGATCCACCCGTGACTCTAGCTCAATAATTCGAAAGTCCATTGCTAACCTCAAACAGTTGCTGAGATTCCGTGCCTCTATGCCCCTTAAAATCCGTCATCTCCTAGTTTCCTATCTCATTTTCCCTCAGTTCGATTATGGCTGCCTTGTATACGGTGGACTTGAGATCAGATTAAAGAGACTGATGAATTGTTTCATTAGATTCATCTTCGGAGTCCCCAGGCGCTCCCACGTCTCCAGTTACTATGCCGAGTTGAAGTGGCTCTATCCAGATTTCCGACGGCAATATTTCCTAGTTGTATTCCTTTTCCGAACCTTTACAACCATACAATCGTCTTACCTACTTCATTTCTTTACTCCTTGTTCCTCTGTTCATTCGTTCAACATGAGATCACAATCCTCAAATTTATTTATTCCTTCTCATAGAACTGTTTCCTTTAAAAAATCCTTCGTCATACGTGCTTCCTCGTTTTGGAATTCCCTACAAACCTCTTTACGGAAATCCTCATCCTTGACCTCATTCAAACACAATTTATTTTTCCATCTCCTCAGTAATCAATCTTCCGAATATATGTAAAATAATGATATTTTGTACTTTAGATATGTCAGTTACATTATACCGATATCTTGCAGATATCTATGTATGTGTCATATTGCTTATTTGTACAAATACGTGAGCTCACCCGTATGTATTCATCTTTAAATTCATATGTCTACTTCAAGATCACATATTTACTATAGTGTCTTTTCTTTATTTTAATATTAAGGTTTGAAAACTTTGTAAATTAATTTACTTTTAATTATTCATAATCGCCAGACAATTGTCATATCTTTGTTCTTTATAATTATGCTGATGGGACTAGATGTCACATAGTAAAATTAACTTTCCTTCTTTCTTATAATTTTAGGAATTAATATTTATATATAGTAGTGTGGTTGCATACCACTTTTTATCAAACTATTAATATCCATCTAAAACTTAGTAAATGGCTTCATCTTATAATAATGTACAACTTTTTAATCCACGAAAATTCATAGAAATGGGACGTTTTCTCATTACATTAATTTTTTTTAAATTTCTTAATGATATTTACAACTTTATTAAAGAAATACATTTAGTAAATTGGAATATATGGATATAATGACGTGAAAACACTTGTTAAGAAATTATCCAATGGTAGAACTTCTAATAATATGTCTACATTAGGAGACCACGTGGCCATCTTCTTTTCAGACGCCTCTGAGTGTTATCAGGAATTGAAGAGGAAGCAAGATTAGAAACGAGAGGCTTGGGATGATTCTGAAGTTTATTATGGAAGGATAGGTATCTGGATTGGGCCCAATCTTAAACATAAGGAACATTAAGGTCATTTTGGATGGTTTTATTGTTAACAAACTAGGAAGCATTGAAGATTTTACGAAGGATTTCGGATTGTAAGGATTGGATACGAGAGGAATTCGATGGTTTAGTGGAGCCCCAAAGCTCAACTTCCGGGCTGAAGCCTCTCTCCCTCCTCCCCCCCCCCAAAATGGTAAAATATAACCATGTTTTATGAAAAAAATTATCTCTAAACGTGTTATTGTTTGTCTAATTACATTCAATAAAACTTAAAGAATCAGTTAAACGCCATTTCATATAAGTAGTTAGTTTCTTTCTTTCTTCCGAAGTAATTATCCTAATATATATATACAAAAAATATCTTTCGGGCTGAAGCTCCCCCAAAATTAAATCCTGGATCCTTTAGTGTGCAGGTCCGATATTTAGTTTCTAATATATTTTAATCCAGATCATCAATAAAACTCGTTATCATTTGGTTTTCGACACTATTTTTTCCTTTTCGTATCTCTAATACAGCGTCGCTTTAATTACAATTTTTAATAACAGCTCATTACAAAGAAGATAAAATGCTGAACCTTTCCCTCGCTTATAGTATACACATACAGGTCCGATTATTAGTATCTGAAATATTTTAATCCATCTGTTTAACTAAACTCGTTATCATTTGGTTTTCGACACTGTTCTATTTTCGTCTCCCTAACACGGCGTCGGGTTAAGATACATGTTTGAATTATAGCTTATTACAGAAAGGATGAAATACTGAACAATTTCCTCGCTTACATTATGCAGGCCCGATTTTTAGTTTTTGAGATATTTCAATCCATATGTAAAAACATTTCAAAAAGTGATAGTAAGAAAATCTATTTCCGGCATTACACAAGCTTCACTATTTCTTCTACTTTTAACAGAAATTACTGTTTGAAAAAACTAGGCTATGGTAAAAAGTTTTAGATCAGCGGATATTAATTTTTTCACTGATCTACCTTAAGCCGGTATACATTGCTTTAGTTCATCGAATAAATCGTACTCAATTCTTTTCTTTCATCAATTTTCAGGATAAATAAATGTAATTCAATTTTTTTTTTTTTTTTTTTTTGTTTCTTGATGTACATATCTATAGGTATGAAAACTTTTCTCAAAAAGGTAGGAAAGTCGTGTGAGTGGACACACAAGATTTTTTTTTTTTTGCTTGTCGAATTTCGGAACTGTCATATCTGTTTTTTTAAAGTAGCAGAACCTATTGTAACTGCTACTGATGTTAAACAGTTTTGCCCATCACTATCTTGGACCAATCAGATGGAACCCACTTGTGAACTAGCACCAATATATTTTCAAGGTATTTATTGCAATATATTACTTCTGAAGTTTTTTTCATTTTCTCTCTGCAAATGCAATAACAAAAAAGCGTTATTCTTTTATCTTATGTAATATCAGAAGCAAATTATGAATTATAAAACCTGTTTTATTAGAAAAAGAATCTATTAAATGTAAAACGACATATAATTTCATTAAGTTATTTAAATATATTACTTGCATAATAAACGGTTATAAATAAAAAATAATATAAAAAAGCTATTGAGAATTAACAACATATAATAAGTTATAAAATGATTAAAAAACATTTATAAATATAATTAAAGAATGCCATGCACTACAGAGAAAAACTTCATAACTCACAGTTGAAATGTCTAATGAAGCCTTCTTTCTTCAAGTTCACTATCATATTTAAAGAATACGTTGGTTCTTTAAAATAGGCAGATTTCGAAACGGAATTCAATAATACAATAATTTAACATTTAATATTTATAGCACTACTGAAATATTTAAAATAAAATAAACCGGTACACACCGAACGGCGCCAAATCCAAACTAAATTAATATGGAGACCGAAGAAGTGCACTTGATCAGTGTGCAAATGCCAACTTGATCAGAAGAATACAATCTGATAGGCTGAGAATTAGCGCCAATATTGACCTAGAAAAATACAGCTAATATTCAAGTTGATACGGTCAATAACGATAGTCAGTTTCAAAACTGTTTTTATATTATTATTAATGTTATTACTTATTCAAGATGTATTAACGCAAATCATATAATTCAAAATTATAATAGGAATAGACATTTTTAGAGTTTTATTATGTATATATTAGCTAACATTAACTACATTACATTTTTAAATAAAATATTCTAATGTTCTATGGGATTTAAAAACTATATTTAAATAATTAAATCATCAATACCTTGTTATTTTATTAGAATATATTATTATCTAATTATTTTAGATATTGATGTAGAGATGGTTGACAGTGATATAATATGAGGAGTTGATCGGGGGTGGAGGGGGGGGGGGTTGCGGTCACTAGCTGATCCAGGGATTTAATTTTGGAGGGGCTTCCGCAAGAAAGCTATTTTTTCATATATATAACGCACGGGCGGTCTACGGGGGGGGGGAGGGCTTTCGGGCTGAAGCCCCCCCCCAAAATGGTAAAACATAACCACGTTTTATGGAAAAAAATAATTAAAAAATACCTCTTAAAGTATTATTGTTGGTGTAATTACATTTAAAAGGACTTAAGGAATCACTTAAATACCATTTCATATAGGTAGTTAGTTTCTTTCTGTTTTTCCAAAGTAAATATCGTTATTTTTATGAAAAAAAAAAGCTTCCG